TTCCAATTTTTCTGCCTAGGGTTTCTGGCTGTGTCTTGTCCTATTTTTAATTTCATGCACAAAATTAAAGTTTATTCATTTCTATTATGAGCAGCTTCCTTAAATTTACCTCCATCTAGGAATATATTACCAAATGTAGTGCAAGGTATGACCCAAGGTACAATTTCTAAACTTACGGAACTCAAAATATAGGCTGAAGAAATTGGAATCTACACACACATATATATATACACACACACACATACCAAACTAGCACTATAAGGTAACATACTGTATATGCCACATAAGATATAAGTGGTACAGAGGATACACACTCCCCTGGGTGTTGTTCCAAAACAGGAAAGACTAGTGTAGACTGAAGAGACAGAGAAAGGAAAGTTTCAAAGAAGTGGTGAGACTTGAGCTGGACTTTAAGGTATGGGTACAGTTCACATAAGCAGGGAGGTAGGGCGCAGTCCAGATTGCAACAACAAGAGGTATAAGGGCAGGAATAAGGAGAATGTGTACAGCACACAGTTCAGAGCCAGGCAATCAGAAAGCAAGTAGTGCAAAAGAGGAGGGTTTGTATTTCAAACTTTTTTTTCTACCCACAACATACCTATGAAGTATGACATCTTCCCATCATTAATTGTGGCAGTGGGGAGCAGTAAAGATTTCACAGCTGCGAGTCATGATACTAAAATTGGTTTAGGAAGAAAGGCAAGAAAGGAATGGAGTAAGCATTTATGGTCTGACTTTAAAATTTTAGATGTTAGGTGATAAGGGTGGCAGCAGTGAGAATGGAAAACACTGACAGAAATAGGAGAGTCTAAAAATGAAGTCAATATTTTTCAACAAGATGAGACTCATTTTATACATACTGAGTTTGAAATGATAAACACTAAAATGCCCAACTGGAGATCTGGGACTGGAGCTCAGGAGAGTTGGACTTGAGAAATATTTGGAAGTCATCAGCATATGGATGAGAGGAGGTATGGTGAAGGAAGAAAAGTACAAAGGAGAGAAAGACAGAGAAAAAGAGTCAGTCAGTCTCTGGCAAAAGGTAAAACAGGTAGGAGGATATCTAGCAGAGCTAGAACCCAAGAAAGCAGTAACTAATTCAGGAAGAAGCTGAAAATGGATTTGGCCTTAAGATTACTGCTAGTCTTGGGGAGAAAAATAAAAGCACAGTGGTATGGGTAAAAGCAGATTGAATAGGGTTAAAGGAAGAATAAACCAAAACCATCAAACTCACTGCCACCGAGTCAATTCCGACTCATAGCAACCCTGTAGGACAAAGCACAACTGCCCCATAGGGTTTCCAAGGCTGTAAATCTTTACGGAGGCAGACTGCCACATCTTTCTCCCACGAAGGAGCTGGAAGGTTCGAATCGTCAACTTTTCAGTTAGCAGCCAAGTGCTTAACCACTGCACCACCAGGACTCCTCCAAAGTGGTAGCAGTAGCCCAGAAAAAGGGTATTTTCAAATCAAGGAGTCCACCCAGAGGCACCTTGGAAGAAAGGTCTGATGATCTACTTCCAAAAAATTAGCCACTGAAAACTCTAAGGAGCACACACACAGAGTTGCTATGAGGTGGATTCACCTCCATGGCGATCTTCAACCTGGGGAGTCATCTGGTAGAGTTAACGTGCTCAGCTGCTAACCAGGAAGTTGGTGGTTTGAGTCTACCCAGAGGTGCCTTGGAAGAAAGATCAGGAGATTTACTTCTGAAAAAATCAGCTATTTGAAAACCCTATGGAGCACAGTTCTACTCTGACACACATAGGGTTTCCACGAGTCGGATTCAACTCAATGGCAACTGGTTTAACTGATTTATGTGCAGATAATCCTATGTAAAGATGGAAGTCAGAGAAGAGTGAGACTGATGATGAAGCGCAGGCAGTAAAGAGATGACTGTAGGGTACAGAATAATCATACTAATCAGAACATTTACTGAACACTTTCCATGTGCCTGTCACTATACCAGCGTTACTGCATCATACTTGACGCACTTTAGCTGCATTATCTCATTTTATTCTCACAGTAAGTGTTTGATATTTTTATTAACCCATGCTGTAGAAGAGAAAATTAAACACAGAGTGCCAAAACTACTTACTTAAGATCACAAACCCAGAATGTGGCAGAGCCAGGAACTGAATTCGAGTTTGCCTGACACAAATTCTTGCTATAAATCGCTATGCAAAACTAAATAGAGCATACAAATAAGGGTCAATCCCTAAATATTTGTTGACTACTTAGAAGAAAATTTTTAATAAGATTGTACATAGGCAGTGTAAGAAAGGAAAACTTAAAAAAAAAAAAAGCTAAAACTACTAACATTTGAGGAAGAAAAGCCTTTCACAGCCTTTTCCCTATGAGGTTGGATCACTTTGGGCCTCATTTCTCAACAGGATTTGATGAACTCATAACTGGTAAGAGTTAACAGTAATATCTCATAAAATAAAATTTGAAGTCAGTGGTTGGTTTGGTCTTCAGGAAAATATCTTAATCTGAAAGTTTTCAAGATGGTAGCTCACAGGAATACAGGTGGGAAACAAAAATTTAGAAATTAAATACGTAGCAAATATTCTAATTTAACTGCCTTGAAGAGATTATATAAATGTACAACAACAAAAACAAAAATCAAAAACTCAGTCTTTTGGAGCTTTAGTCACATCTAAAGAGGCTTTGAATGTTTGGTTGCTTAAGATATGAGCTCACATAATCACTATCTGTGATTTCTAATATGGACAAAAGCAAGAATATTCAGCCAAGTATGGATGAAGCAGGCACTGATCAATAGGTCGAAATTCCGTTATTCCTCCCTCTGATGTCTTTATTTTGGCATTTCTCATTAGTATCTCTATTAGAAGGTGGGGTCAGAAAGAAAAGGTGAAGTACAAATTCTTTGATTCTATTAATTAATAACTCTAGTAAACTAGCTTTTACCAAAGAAATTAAAAAATGAGTACTGGAAGCTGTAATTACTTACGGATTTTAATCATCTATGTTATGCCTAGTCTGTGCCTCATTACCAATGGGTAAATCAGAGTTACCTCAATAGGATGTTACAGGTAATGAAATGTACTTACTATTAGCTCTGGTAAATTGTCACTGAAATAGAGTTTAAATTACTTACAGATGTCAACTATCCATGTCATTCTTAGTCTATGACCACATTATCATGGATAATGCAGAGATAACTTTATTGGGATGGAATAAGTAATGAATGTACTAACCCAAAGCTTTAATTAATCTAGTGCTCTTTTTCTATAAACATATGTTCAACCATTACTGCTTGGTCTGTACTAACCATGCCCCAAGATATCCTACACTTACAGCACCCTATGCAGAAAAATTCAACAATTTGGATTTGCTGTGCTAATCATACATTTTGGATTTAGCAAGCTTAAGGTTAAACGTACAACTTACCACCACCACTAAGTAAAGGAGAAAAAAAATCACAGGAAAATTTTGACTGACAATAAAACTTCTATAATTATAAGAAATCAAATATTCAAGGATAGCTCATTTAGCCTGAAGGTTTAACAATGTAAATATTAGTGCTCTTCCAAAGTGGCTATTTAAATTAACATCATCAAAAGATACAGAAGGGAAAAAAACCAACAGGTAGATGTATTCAAATAACAAAATATCGGTCCATCACAAGAACCTATGTACTTGGAAGCAGTAGCTAGTTAAGTTTAGGAGGTGTCCAAGATTGTACCAGTAACTGTATCTATTTCTTCAGCTTCAGAAAACTTTCGCAGATTATTTTGTCTTCCATTCTTAAACTATTTTCAGCGATAACTGCTTAAAAGTACATGACTCTTTTGCATTCTTAAGAAGGTAAAAAATTGCACAAAAATAATGTAATTGAGGTAGCTCTCCACCTGCCCCCATTTCATTGCCAGGAAGAGGAACATACTAGTGATGAGAAATATACTGGTGATGATCTTTTGACTTTTGTATCACTTTTAGGAAAATTTCAGTAAATGTAATAAATACAGTTATCCAATCAGAAAATAATTGCCACAAGAAGTCTCTCTGGGTTCTTCCTCAATCCCGCAGTAAATCATTCTCTCCTCTCTATCGCAAGCATAGTCAACCTGACAATTTCTGATGAATGTCCTATATCAAAACAAAACAATGGATCTAACAGTTTAGAGGTTTCATCTTTTAAAACTATTAGTACAAGTAAGGAAACGCAACATAAAAATTTAACATGTTAAGAAATACCCATCCATGAGCTCTTACTGACAACTGCCGCCAGTGTCTCTACACCCAACCTCTTGCATGCGCTGGTGCAGCATTCAGGGAATGGTACCTAATAGCACAGCCACATGCACTACTTACTTCTCTAAATGCAACACTGCTCAATTTTCTATATTTTAAATGTTTGAAATGCCCCTTTTGTATTATCTCCCAAAAGGAAACTGAGATTTCATTGTCTTTTCTATTTGTAAAATGAAGCTACTTAACACAGCACTTAGTGAAAATGAATTAAATCTCTTTATGTCAAAGTTTAAGACATCCTGACTACTAAGTAACTTATAAAATGCTATTTTAAAATATTCCATACCACCTCCTTCACCCTACCAGTATTATGAGAGTCTTTTAAAATACTAGGTCTCCAAGCTAACAAAATTTCACACCCATGAAAAAAGCAATTTTCTCTGCTATGATGATGACCTCACTCATTTAATTTCACAGGTATAATAATATTCTCACTTACCTTTAGTGATACAATATGCAGGTAAATATTATTTTTAAAATACTTTTTAAACTAGGAATCTATGCTGAAAAATACTGCTTTCTCATTGCAGTACAACCTTTGCAGGCCAGAATTCAAACCAAAAACAATCGTTTCTCAAAAGATAAACCTTTATATTATATAAATACTAGGTATTTACTTGACCTATCCATAAATACCACACCTATCAGACAATAAATGAATCTCTACATTTAAAATGAATACTCCTAAATCAGAAAGGAATACTGTATTTTACAGTTCACTTACCTGAACCTCGCTTGTCTTCTGTTTAACAGTATCTTCTTTCTCCTTAAGGTCCTGTTCTGCATTATTCTTTTCCCTAGAAGACCAGCAAACAATGCAAGAATATTTGAGAACATCAGCTACAGCCGGTATGGTTATCCATCCTCCTAATCCTGAATCGCTTTTTAAGTACATAGTGAAACATTCAATTTTTAAATGAAGGGCAGACTTTTCTACCCTCTTTTAATTATTTATGGACTCAAAATCAATATACGCTCTGTTTGTTAAAAAAAAAAAAATCGCTTTCTCACTAAAATGTGGTGAAAAGAGAATAGATTAAAAAAGGAAGAGGAGAAAAATAATCAATGAAACACTCAGGTTTCACTTATCTCACTGTTGCTATGGAAATACTGTCCAATGAAAATTGCTGGTGAAAAAAAGGAGGAGTTGCATCAGCCCTGTAGGCTTAACCCTTAAGTATCACTGTCAAATTAAATGAAAATGGCTAGTAGAAAAGTGAACAATATTAAGAAAAGGACATTTACTGAAGTGTTAATTTCCCCTTAAATCACTAGTGTGTACCAGTTTTAGAATGAAACAAAATACAGAAAAGTGAAAAGGTTGTTAATACACAGGCCCCTTGTGCTATCAAATACCACATCTGTTCAAAAAAGCTATTTTAGCAGAAGCTATCAAACTCAAATGACTAAAAACATAAAACAACGTATACCAAGAAAAAAAGGAATCACATTAGCATTTATTTCTACTCTTTAGATCGAACATGCCAGACTCCACTTTCACTTCAAAACATCATTATCTAAATTCTTACATACTTTAATCAGATCTGGCTTCCTAATGAATGACTCTTGGGCAACCTTAGAATCCGAATTACAAAATAAAGCCATTTCTTTGGATGTAACACATGTAACTGCTCATTTGTACAGAAATTATGTGTGTATATATAATATACCCCTTTTCTTCCTTTTCTACAGAACGAGAGAAGAGGCCATAACTATGTATACACAACAGAGCTTTACCCTAGACCCAAAACTCTACAGCAATACACTTCTGGGGTGATGAAAAGGCAGTGTGAATAGGGGAGGACAGCACTTAAAAAGTCTTCCAGGCTAGTACTGCAGAGCTTCTCATTAGAGCGTCAAGATTATATTTCAGTGTCTATCTCAGACACAACACAAATGTAAGCTCAGGCTCCATTAAGCTCTAGCTTAAAAGGAAAGTGAGAAAATCATGCCAAAGGAGACACTTAAGGGACAACTACATACTACATTTATACTTCTCACCTTTCTTGAGGTGAGATTTTAAAAGTAGAGAAAAAACAACTGTTTTGGATATGTAGGCACAGTATTCTTAAGATTTGTATGGAAAAAAAAAAAGCACACAAATAAAGCTATTTGTTCACTGCTACTTTTAAACACCTGAGATGGCCAAGGATCTCACTAACCGTTTGTCACATGGGTTGCAAAGTGGGTCACGATGTCGTGGAGAATTTTTTTTTTTTTTTTGTCGTGGAGATTTTAAACAGTCCCTGACCATGCGAATCATTGTTGTAGCCCGTTCCTCCCATACCTCAATCTACTTATTATGCAAAGGCCATCCCCCACTTCCAATCCTTAGCAAATTAAATAGAAATAAAAAAATAGAGGGGGAAAAAAGCACAGAGGAGACAAAAATCTGAAAATGCCCCACAAACTCTGCGAGCTCAATCTTGGAAATTTTTTCTTTCCTCCTTATGTGAGCAGATGAGTGTTTTCAGTACTGCTGCAGCATGTCTGAGATAAGCCACATGAAAAACTGCCCCCCTCCCTCAATCCCAAATCCTCAGAGGCAATCCACACAAGGTCAGTATCGAGTCAGCTCCTCATTTCTGACAGTAGATAAATAACAAAAATAGAAAACATTAAATGGTATCATAGCTCAGCATTGCACACAGAGATGTCTATGTTTGGGTAAAATGGAGGAATTTAAAGTACAGATCTCTCTTCAGTGTTTTTAATTCATAATTTTGGGTGTGTGCGTCTGTCAAGGGGGAACAGTGGTAACAACTTCAAACATATCTTGAAGACCATTCCAAACTATTAAATATGGAAGTCTTTAGGCATTAATTCCTCTTAGTACTGAGATTAAATTTAACTTTCAGTCACATTTATCTAATAATATCCGGGTCTCATAATAATTCCTTTTATTATCAAAACTAAGTACTATAACATACATTGCTAAACAGAACACCTCCAAAAATAATAAAATGTTCTGTTATATCACTGTCTACAGAAGACATGAGTGAAAATCTGGCCTATAAATTAAACTGAAAGATCAAATCATCTTCACAGTGACTTAGATTACAACTTCAGAGATGCCAAATTGCTACTGTGTCATCTTCCAATGCTCAGAATCTCTATAGCGATCCTTCTCATTTAAGGCAAGTAAAAATATCTAAACACACATTCAGGTGAACTAACGATGCTTGGCCATATTTCTTACATTCCCCCCTCTTTCAAGCAATAGTATATTATTCTAAAGGTGATAGGTGCATAACTAATACAAAGCATCCTGACAAACATTAGTGATTTAAAAACGTAATCTTTTCAATGCTTCTGTGCCACAATAAAAGTAATATTTCTATGCAGCTTCCCAAGGAGGTCACCATCATATGCAGATAAGGCAGACATAAGATATATCTTGTGTGCGAGCATTTTGCCCAAAGCACCACTGATCTTGAATGTCATGACAGGAAAAGCTACTGCCTTCACCTTAGTAATTTCCAGAAAAGGGAAACAAAATGACCCTACATGTTCTCTATCTTAGATCATCTCTTTGCCATATTCATTCCCAAGATGCTCACACATCCTGAGGAATCTACAATTATTAAAGCTGTAAAGACAAGCAAGGAATAGAGCTCCCTGGTTTTCCAAAGACTGACAGTTCTGATTCCATGAAATGTAGCATCTGAGGCACCAAGAAAAGCAAGCCAAAACGAGGCTTTCAGAAGCCTAGGGTGGACCACTGCAAAAACCTAATATATAGCAGTCAAAAGCTATTCACAAGGATAGTCAGACTCAGGAACCTTGAGACTGTGCAATTCACTTCACTTTTCCAGGCTCTGTTGATGGGGAGAAGGGACTGTGCCATCTGTCTTAATTTTATATTATCCAGATATTATTACAGAGACAAGATTAAATCACCTTCAAAGTTCTTCCCAGACAATTTTGTCTTTTTTTCTGAGCATAAGCATCCATTGTTTTCCAACTGGAAAACAATAAAAACTAGGAACGAGTTGGCAACTGTTGTTGTTATGTGCCGTCAATTCTGACAAATAGCAACCCTGCAGGACAGAGTAGAACTGCCCCAAAGGGTTTTCTAGGCTGTAAACTTTATGTGAGCAGAAGGCCAGGTCTTTTTTCCCTTGGAGTGGCTGGTGGGTAGGAATAGGTGACCTTTCAGTTAACAGCCAAGCATTTAACTAGTAACTGTGAAAACTTGTAAGTTGTTTTCTTCAATCCTAAAACTTACTTATAAAAATCCTTTTGGGGCATTTAACCCTAAAGATGTTCCTATTATTAACTGCCAATCTCTCTTACAAATAAACAGAATAACATGCTATTCTCTTTCTGTAGTCTTCAGTAAGGCATCTGAGTCTTAAGGAGAGCAAGAAAATGGGACTAGAAACTAGAGACCTAGATTCTTATCTGGCTCTGCCATAAAATAGTTTTTCTGACTCTGATTAGGACACTTAACTTTTCAGAGGCTCAGTCTTATTTTTCAAATGCAGATGATAATATCTCTACCAGCTTAGATTTGTGAGGCATAACGTGTAAGATGTCACAGAATTAGGACAAAAGCCAGCTTTGACCCAATGCTTTGGTTGCTTTTTATTCACAATATTAACTTTACTTAGTTTTACATAGCATTTAATGAAATAATTTTTAAATTTGTTAAAAAGAAGTTATACGTTTAAAAAAAAAGGGTTAGAAAATATTGCTCTAACACACACTTGTGAGAATATATAATGTAATCACTGAAATCTCTACCCAAAAAACTTCTCTAAATGTTTACTCAAAATAACTACTCTCTACTTTTAGAAACTCATTATACGGTTTTCAAAGCATAGGATTTGGAGTAAAATAGGTCAGGATTCAAATACTGGCTCCATCACACATCATTTTGGTTAAATCATTATACTAACATCTATTCGTTCTGGTGGTCCTTTTAGGACCCAACAATGTCTTCTTTTAGGAGACTGATCCTTTCTTTCTCCTTCACCTACCCATATAGCTCAGATAGAAGATGCCATCTTTTCAGAGACTCTACCTCTCTAGGTAATGAATGGCCAGGCATTGGCTACTGACGGAAGTTTAACCAACTAAAGCACCACATAGCACAATCACCATGATTAAATAAAGAACGGGCCCATGATCAAAATTAAAGCAGTCAAAGTTTTTATCTAAGAACAACGATGAATCTGTGAAGCATCTCATAACATGGATGAAACTGGAGGACATTATGCTGAGTGAAATAAGTCAATCACAAAAGGCCAAATATTGTATGAGACCTCTATTGTAAAAACCCATGAAAAAGTTCACACACAAAATGTAACAATCTTTGTTGGTTACCAGGGATGGAAGGGGTGGGGGGGAAATACTAAATAGGCAATAGATAAGTGGTATCTTGGGTGAAGGGTGAGACAGCACACAATACAGGGGAAACCAGCACAACTTGTACAAGGAAAGGTCATGGAAGCGCCACAGACACATCCAAACTCCCTGAGGGACTGAATTGCTGGGTGGAGGGCTGTTGGGACCATGGTCTCGGGGAACATCTAGCTCAGTTGGCATAACACAGTTTATAAAGACAATGTTCTACATTCTACCTTGGTGAGTAGTGTCTGGGGTCTTAAAAGCCTATGAGCAGCCATCTAAGATACTCCACTGGTCGCATCCCTTTGGGAGCAAGGGAGAATGAAGAGAACAGGATACAAGGAAAAGATTAGTCCAAAGGACTAATGGACTACAGCTACCAAGGCCTCCACCAGACTGAGTCCAGTACAGCTAGATGGTGCCCGGCTACCACCACTGACTGCTC